AAATCAAGTATTGGAGAGTGTGCTAAACTCACCAGGGTTCATCCCTTGGTCTGAGCACTCAGGTTTTGGTTCTTTATTACAGTGACTTGAGGAGGCCACTGGGTGAGAGAAGGACGAGAATCTTGTTTCTTGATCAGAAGGCTTGATTTATTGATATATAATATATAATACATTATAACTATACTAAAAAGAATAAAGAGAGAGCTTGCAGAGAGCTGCTAAGCTAAGAATAGAATAGAAGGAATGAATAACAAAGTTCTGTGTTCAAGGAATCTCCCCTGAGCTGCTCCTGTGATTGGCCCTTAGCTAGAAACATGCAAGATGAGCTAATCACAGGATCACTTGCCACATTTCACAACAGCCGATAACAATTTGTTTACATTCTTTTTCTGGAGCTCTGCTTCCCAGAAAATAGACAAATCTCAAAGAAAAGATTTCTATGAAGAAATGTCTGCGACAGTTCTTCACTCCTGGTCCTTCTGTTTACATTCTCAGTGTCTCCTCCCTGCCTGTGCCTGGAGATGAACTCACTCCTCCTGGCAGCAAGGCATATGAATTGCAAAACACCCCCAGGAGCTACCTCTGCAATATCTGTAACACCACTATTGCCCTCCTCTTGCAGGTGTTTTACCCCAAAGAAAATTTCAGCCACCCTTACTGTCTGAACTTGCTGTGTGAACAGGTAAGCACCGGAGTGTGGCTCAAAGCCAGCTGTCTCTCTGGGGACAAAGCACTCCATAATTACATTGCATGAGTTGCCTGCACGTCTCCATCCCCAGCAGTGCAAATCTCTTCCCCAGATCCATCCAATCCCTGTTCACTCCTCTCTGAGACTCAGTTTAGCAGCCTCAGATGCTCCAGCTATCTATACAACAATAAAAGAACTTTTATTCTTGCTTGATACAGCTTAATGATGAACATTACCTGTTTACCACCAGGGTACTTTTGGCAGCAGGTTTTATGTTTAGTCATAAGATTAATGAAAAACACATATATAATATCAGTGCTTCAGTAAATTGACTATTCCATCACTTTTCAAAATTACCTACTACATTTTTACGGAAGACTTCCTTGCTCATGCAACTTTTCATTACTTTTTCCCTTGTGTTTATTTAAAGACTGGGATTCAGTAAACAAATAACTAATCTAGGACTTTGAGGAAGTAGTCTAGGGCTATTCCAAAAGTAATATATACCACTGTTTTGGATAATGGTTATTGTAACACCTTTATTTACTTTTCCTGCAAGTTCTCCTTTTCCCTTATTATTCTAACTGCTACCTAGAGTGAGACAGGTTAAAACACCTCAGGAGAAATCAATCAGCATTGTGACATCATTACAACACTGCCAGGTGTGGCCTTTGCAATGGCAGCCTCTCTGTTCCCTTGCTCTGCAGATCATCCGTGACACCTTCTCCGAGTCCAGCTTCCGGATCTCCAGGGAGGAGAAGCGCAAGATGAAGGATCTGCTGAGTAATTACCAGCCCCATCACCCCTTCCCCTCTGTGCCCATCCCAGCTTCTGCTCTGGAGTGCAAAACTGGCCTCCAAGCCTTTCAGTCAGTGCTAAGGGCAGGGGAGAATTGTTTGTCACTGCAGCAGGAAGGCGCATTTGTAGAGTGCAGTGTAGGAATGTTTGTTTATTCCCTGAAATTTCAGTGAGCCAGAAAAATGTAGTTCTGAAATGTTTTTTTGTGGGGAGGGGAAACTGAAGCCCAAGAATAGGATTTTGATTTGTTTCAAATTCCAACTGTCATCTCTGACATGATCTTTGTGGAGAAAGGGATAGAAACCAATAGTAGATTGGTGTATGCAAGTGTCCTTTCCCCTCTACATGTGGTTTGCTGTGGGGGTACCAGTCGTTGGATTTTCTGGGTCTGGGTTGAAGGTACTTGACACAGTAATTCATGCTTGGACTCAGGTGTTTATTATTTCTTATCAGTAAAACAGTCTCACTACTGTGAGTTCTGCAGCTTTTCATTAGAAGGCACAAAATGGCCAACAATCTCTTGGTACAAGGTCTTTTAAGACTAAATTATCCAATTTAGAACTGACACCTGGATTATTTTCCCTTTTAACCCAATAACTGATCCCAAAGAACTGCAATGGGGACTTTTCCACCCAATTACGAAATGCCACCCAAACCCATGAAGAAGGAGGAAGAAGCAGCATGAAGAAGAAACCCAGGATGGCGCCCTGTGCCCTCCATCTTGCTTCCATCCACAACACACTAAAAATCCCAAAACCTAAATTTCTCACCAAGTGATCCACCTACACTACTCTCTATAATCTATTTCACACTTTTCTGGATTCCAGTTTATCTTGAAGTCTAGGAAACTCTTCATGAATGAGGGTCAAAGTCAGTGCTCTCTTGGGGGTCAGGGCACCCCAGAGCAGACAGAGAAATATTCCATGTGGTGCCCTGGGTTTGCACAGTTTGCTGTGCTGTGAGCACAGAGGGATTGCTGGGAAAGAATCCCTGGGAAGAGGGAGACTTGGCCACCTTTGTCTTTCTAAACAAGTAACTGTTCTGTGACCCTGCAGTGGAGTTCCGAGTTGGCAGCAATGCCCAGTCCATCCAGGAGGAAGGGATAAAGAAGAGGATTGTAGTGGCTGCTCGGGACAACTGGGCCAACTATTTCTCCCGCCTTTTCCCGGTTCAGGTGAGCCTTGATTCTCTCACCAGCCCCTGGGCTTGCTTTAGCTGTGGCTCCAGTTCACTCTCTCTGTCCCCTGCCTGGCCACACTGCAGGGATTCTGTACCTTCCATACCCTGCAGGGTTTCACACCCCTCGTGTGGCACCTCCTTTCCCTGGTGCCACCGGTGCAGGTGGGATGGAGCCTTTGGTTCTCTGTGCTGCACTTCCCTTACAGGGTGAGAAGGGAAGTGATGTGCAGCTCCTGGGTGTTTCTCACCGGGGCATGAGGCTGCTGAAGGTGGAGAAAGCAGCTGGATACCATCCTGAGCACCTCAAGATCCTACGCAGCTACGGGTGAGCAAAAGGGCCCTGGCTGCTGCTGCAGGACAGTTTGTGTCTGGCAGGGTGTTGGAGGCAAGCTGGATGGAGGAGCTGAAAATTCTGAGTTGTGCTGTGCTCTCTAGGATTCCCCTAGGCCAGCTGTGACTCACTGACCCTCCTTTTAACGAGTCTGGCTTCTCCTTTTCCTTCCTGCCTTGAGCTTTGCTTACAACAAGTGAGCTCTGGGGGTGAATCAGCCCCGTGTGCCATCACAGGGAGCTCCTCAGGGTGAAAGCCATGAGCAGCTGGAGAACGGAGAATGTTGAGGCATGTCTCCATTCCCAGTCCTTGGAATGGGCTCCCATCCCCACGTTCTGCATCCCAAACATGCTGGCTTGCGTTCCAGCTTTGCAGAGGTTCTGTCAGTGGAGATGAAAGGCAGTAACTCCCTGGAGTTCTCCCTGAAGACAGAGCAGCTCATCCTGCACTCTCCAAAGGCTCCGTGCATCAAGGACATGGTGGAACTCTTCATGCAGGAGCTGAGGCAGGTGAGGCAGCAGCTGGAGGGCGGTAGGGAATGAAGTTGGTTTCCCTGATGAAACAGAGATTGTCCATGGGGTGCCGTGATCCTTGGGATGAGATCTGACCCGGCCTTGGCCTTTCCCCAGGACACCAACTACGTGGTGGCTCTGCGCAGCTACATCGTGGATGACAAGAGCCTGCTCAGCTTCAACAAGGGCGACCTCATCGAGCTGCTGCCCATGCAGGGCGTGGAGCCAGGTGAGGGGGAGTGTTGGGGTGGGCAGGACCAGGACCAAGGGCCTGCTGGATCCGTGGTGGCAGAACCAGAGGAATACAGGGGGGGCTGGCATCATCAGCCTCCAGCTCTGCCAGACAAGCCTTGACCCAGTTGCCTCAGTTATAGGAATACATGTTTTATATACATATGTGTGTGTGTGTTTCCTTAGAATGCAGGAAAACCTGATGAGTCTGATGCTCTCCTTTGCCAGCAGAGAGCTTCAGTGCTCGTTTCTCCTGGCAGCTGCCCTGGTTCCTGATCCTTTCTCTGTCCTTTTGCAGGGTGGCAGTTTGGCTCCACGGGTGGCCGCTGTGGTCTCTTCCCCACCAGCCTGGTGCAGCTGGCTCCTGCCATTGACTACCTCAGCAGCAGCATGGACAGACGGGGGGAGCAGAGAAAGGGCACCAGAGCTCCCCCAGAGAGCAGGAACACCAGCAGGGAGGTGAGCAGCCCTTGGGGAGAGACACCCAGGGCACATGGCTGGGTTCAGCGGGGCTGCCATGGCTCTGGGAGTGTCTGAGCTCTGAGGGCACAGGGAAGATGATGAGGGCTTAGTCTTTGCAGATGAGACACTCAAATCCATCACAGTGTTGGAGGGGAGGCACCACACACACACGAGGCCTGGCAGCTGAGAATACACACTGCAGAGTTCCTCAGCTGATGTTTTAGGGTGGGTTTGGTGGTGTTCCTGCAGAGTTCTGTCCTCAGCCTGACACCAGAAGCCACCAGCACCATGTTAGTGCCCGCTGGTGACCATTACACCATGACTGACTTTGCCACCGCCTACTTCCGAGAGGCTCAGTCCGTGTGAGTAGCCTGAGCTCCTTCCCAAACAGGACCTGGGGAGCCTGACCCACCCCAGGCTCCTTCTGGGGGTGTTTCTTGGACTCTCTTGGACATGTTCCCTCTCTTCTGTCTAGGCAGGGCCTGAAGGGGACATCTGCTGAGAAGAAGGATGTGGCTGAGCTGGTGAAGCACACCAAGGTGAGCTCAGCCTCTGCCCCTGGCCCAGCCAGACCCCAGCTCCAGCCCTGCCTCTGGCTTTGTCCCACATGAACAAGGAACAGATCCTTGCCTGCAGTCTCTGGACAAGTTTAGGTGTCCTGTGGGGTCCTGGCAGCTCAAGTGTGTGACCCCCAGCCCTGTGTGACCCTGTGTGACCCTGTGTGACCCCCAGCCCTGTGTGACCCTGTGTGACCCTGTGTGACCCCCCAGCCCTGTGTGACCCCCAGCCCTGTGTGACCCCCCAGCCCTGTGTGACCCCCAGCCCTGTGTGACCCCCAGCCCTGTGTGACCCCCAGCCCTGCTCTGTCCCTGTGTTCTGGCCCTGCAGGTCCCAATCCAGGCGTCTCTGCTCCGCTACTCTGACAGCGAGCTGAACGAGCTGGCTACAAAGAACTTCCAGAGTAAGGAAGGAGCTCCCTGGGACACAGCAGTGCAGAGGGGAGTGGGGTGGGCAGGGTGGGCACACACAGACACTCGGGGGCACAGTGGGAGGGGAAACTGGGTGAGGAGGGCCCCTTCCAAGGCATTTCTGAGTTCATAGCCCCCTGTGTGCTTGCTGAAACCTTCCAGCAAAAAGGACTTTGCCTGGAGCTCCAAGTGTCCCAGAACACTCTGCCTGGGCTTTGGGCTGACTCCTCTTGTCCAGTGCAAGCCTTGTCACAGCAGAGAAGTGTTCAGGACATTTGCTTGCCCACTGCCAGCCCCATGGCAGAACCACCCCAGCTCAGACTAAAGGCCAGGCTTTGCCTTGCAGCGCTGATGAGGTTCATGGGAGATCAGCCAAAACACAAGCACCAGGCTGAGGTCCAATGCATCTATGAAATCCTTCAGGTTTGTGAGCTTCCCCTGGGGAAAGTGCAGGAGCACCAATGGGAGTGGAGGGCCAAGACCTTGCTGGGAAGGAGAAGGGCAGGGAGAGCCATAATGGCACCTCCTGCACGAGGAAGGGAGATGAAACAGACTGTGGGGAGGGTTTGCATGTAAATGGTTCCCCTGGATATCACTGTCGGGATGAGAGCACAACCTGCCTCTGCTCTCTGCTCCTTTGAGCCTAAATAGCACTGGAGACCAGAGGCTGCAAAGCCCAAACCTTAAGCCAAACTGGCAGAGCTCTGAAGCTGGAAGAGGAAAGGCACAGGAATTATCTGGGGATTGTGACCATGTTCACAGGGGTCTCATGTTGAGGGAGGAGAGGAGGATCTGTCTCCATGTTTCAGAAGGCTTGATTTATTATTTTATAATATATATTACATTAAAACTATACTAAAAAAATAGAAGAAAAGGTTTCACTAGGCTAGCTAAGCTAAGAATAGAAAAGAATCATAACAGAAGTGTGTGGCTCAGAGAGAGAGCCCAAGCCAGCTGACTGTGATTGGCCATTAATTCTAAACATCCACATGAGACCAACCACAGATGCACCTGTTGCATTCCACAGCAGCAGATAATAATTGTTTACATTTTGTTCCTGAGGCCTCTGAGCTTCTCAGGAGGAAAAATCTCAAAGAAGAGATTTTTCATAAAAAGATGTCTGCAACAGAGGATGTCTCTGATGCTCTCATCCCCTCTCTGATGCTGTTTTCTCCTCTCTGGATGCAGCTGTGCAAGGAGAAGGAGGATTTGCACGATGAGATCTACTGCCAGGTCATCAAACAGGTCACCCACAACCCTCAGCAGTGAGTACCAGCCCTGGCAGCTGCTGTGTGTGCACAGCTGGGGAGGAACCATCAGCAGCAGGGACAGCAGGGCCAGGGGGAGGCTGTCCCCTCATGATGGGCTGTCCCCAGCTGCTCCTGCTGAGCACTCAGGAAATTCTGCAGTCACAGGGTCTGGCATTTTCACTTTAGGGAATATTTTTCCTTATATTTCTGGCTGCTGATCCATCTGGGCACCAGTAAACATTCCTGGTGGCTCCTGCTCGTGGTCCTGCTCAGAGCACTGATCTCCTCCTCCTAGCCTTGGGGAATTGATGAACACCAGTCAAGGCCTGGCTTGGCCCCACACTGCCCTGGGAGGTGGTGTGACCTTGATTGTTCCCTTTCTTTGCTTGCTGTTGGAATAACTGAATCAATCTCTTACTCAGCACAAGAAACCTCTGACCAAGGGCTGACACCTCCTTTTCTGCCAACTGCCAGAGGTGTTCAGAAGGGCACAAGCTCACTTGGAGCTGCTCAGAGCAGCTTGTATTGTCCCAAGGTGCCCACAGTCCTTTCTGATCCACAGGGAGAGCGAGCTGCGGGGCTGGTTGCTCCTAAACCTGCTCACTGGGTACTTCCTGCCTTCCAAAATCCTGATGCCCTATGCCACCAAGTTCCTGCAGCTGGCCAGCAGTGATCCATCCAGCGCCCATCATGGTAAGACCGTTTGTGTCCTGTAAAGCAAATATTCCAGATCTAATTCCCCCTCCTGTCATTCTTCTGTCCCAACATTGTCATGTTCGGATGTGTCCTGGCAGGGTGGGAGTGAGGTCAAGTCTCTTTGCTCTCCTAGCAGTGACCATGGGTGTCTTGGTTTGAAAAAACAAAAAAAACGTGTCTGCCAAGGAAGGCAGGAGCTTCCCCTGAAATGGAAAATGTAAACCCCCTCCCTCTGAATTATTATAATTTTGAAATTAAGGGGCTCTCAGGCAAAGATATGGGAGTAGGAATAACAGTTCTTTATGAGGAAAATTTAAAAAATACAAATGTAATAGTACAAAAAACAAAACTACTGATGGAGTGAGAGCATGCCCTGCCCCCTGTGTGTCAGGGGGGTGTCCCAGCCCCATCCATGGGGGCTCAGCCCTCCTGCAGTGCCAGCTGTGGCTCTGCTGCAGCAGGGATCCTGCACAAGGGGGGAGTTTTCCTCTGCAGCTCCAGGGCTGCTGCAGATGGGCCTGGGCTCCCTCTGGCCANGGGTTCCTGTTCAGGAGCTGCTGGTGATGTGTGTGCAGGAGTTTGGGGTTCCTGTTCAGCTAGCTCCAATTCAGATTGTGAGCTGTAGTGGGGCCAGTTTTCTAGAAATCTCTGGGCATGTGACTGGGACATTCTCCCTCACTCTAGAAAAGAGGTTCTTGCTGACTGAGGCAAGAGTGAGAACTGTGCCATCAGTGCCAGGTTTTGGTTTGGGTTAGATTAGCTCAAGTTCCCCTTTCTATGCAGGAGAGCAGCACATCCGAGTGAAGAAAGTCAGACCTAGCAAAACCTGGACTCCTCCAGCAAAACCCCAACCAACAGAGGAGGAGGAGGAGGAGGAAAAGAGAGAGGAGATGGAGAAGAGGAAAAAAGAGGAGATGGAGAAGAGGAAAAAAGAGGAGATGGAGAAGAGGAAAAAAGAGGAGCTGGAGAAGAGGAAAGAAGAGAAGCCTGTCCCTAAACCAGAGCCAGGTAAGATGTTGGGCAGTGGAGACTCAAGCAGGTTGACAAGGAAGACCTTCCCAGGAACACCAGGCCAGGATTCAGGCAGAGGGGGAAAGGATCTGACCCTTCTGGGAGTCTGCATCTTGACAGGAGAGGAAGGAGGAATGTACATTGCTAGTCAGCATCAGAGGGAAAGAAAGGGAAGGTCAAGTGAGATAAAGGGATTTCTGCTGTGTGTTTGCTGGACTATTGATTAAGGCTCTCACCCCAACAGCTCCTGCTTCCCCTATGCCACCTCCTGAGCCAAAGCCAAAAAAGGAGACACCAAAACCAAAGAAGGAGCCGCCTGTAGTGAAGCCTTCAGGCCCAGAGAAGCGTCCTGCACCCAGCCATGAGATTGGGAACATCATCAAAATGTACCAGAGCAGACCAGCCCCCGAGCCCCAGCCCATCCAGCCCAGCAGGTGAGAGTGTGGGATCCCCTGTGGGCAGGGGGGACATGGGGGTTCTCTATCTCAGCTCTGCCAGTGGCTCCATTGTGCCCAAACCCCATAATGCTGCTCCTTGTTCCCTTGCAGGAAAGTATCCAAGCCATTTATAAAGAAGAACGACCCCAAAAATGAGGCTCTGGCCAAGCTGGGAATGATGAACCCCTCACCTCAGCGATCAGTGAGTTCTTTGCTCTCTGGTTACTTCAGGAGCTCAGCAGAGAGAGCCTGTCCATCCCATCTCCAGCAGGCTGGGATCCCCCTGGTGCTGCAGCAGCAGCCAGGTCATTTCTGGTTGGGTTGTGAGATAGCTGGGAGCTCACACCATGCTCCTGCCCACCCTAGACTGGTTCCAGTCTGTAAAATCATCTGAGGTCCTGAAGAAAAGGCTCTGGAGCAGCAAATCCTACTGTGAGATGCTAAAGGCTGATGTGGAAGCAAGCTCCAAATGTTCTCCACATTGGGCACCAAGGCTTTGCCTTGTTAACATCCTTTTTTCCTTTCCAAACTGGAGGCTTTGATCTCAAATACTTGGTCCTCTGGGTTTGGTTGATCATCTCTTTGTAGATTTTGTGTTGATCTAAAGGCAGTGGTGGGCTGTTCACACAGGTCTTGCTCCAGGGGCTGCTGCCACGGGATGATTTAGAACAGCAGTGTCAGGACAGAGCCCAGCAATGCAGGGAAAGAATGGCTCAAAGGGGTTTTTTTTGTCTTGCAGCCATCTCCTGTGCCACAGGAGAAGAAAATACCTCCACCTGTCAAGCCCAAGCCAGGCCCAGCTTCCAGCTCTATCAAGGAAAAGCAGCTGCCCCTCTTATCCATCTTCAAACCAGAGGGTGCCCCCCCAGCTGCCCAGGCCCCTCATGCTCCCCCTCTTCCCCCAGCAACCCCTGAGGACCAAGGCTGGCAGGAACCCCCAGGGAAGGGTGAGTATTTGTTTCACCCATGTGGGATTTGGTAGGGCAGGGAGGGGATGGGGCTGGAACCAGCCCAGAGAGTCCTGGCACAGGTCCTGGCACCAGGCAGCGTGCCAGGGTCTGAGCTGTGTGCCACCAGGGACTGAGCTGTGTGCCACCAGGGACTGAGCTGTGTGACACCAGGGAGGTGCTGCAATCTCATCTGTGAGCAATCAGAGATGTCACAGTTCCAGCCTGGCCCAGAAACCAGCGTGGCACTTCCCAGCTCTTAACTCTTCCCTTCTGAAAAATGCAGCTAAAAATAGAAAGGTCCTTGGGCTACAGCTTTATCAAGGTCCAGCCCACAATACTTTTATTGTTTGCCTGCAGCATAATTATCAAAGGAGCAATTAGTGGGTGGACTTTAGACCAGGGAGCAATGGGAAGCCAGAACTTTCACCTTTCCCTCTGGTGAGGGACCTTAGAGACAGACTGAGGAATAGGGAGTGTTTCTCAGAGGGAAGCTGAGCCTGGGAGACCTTGGACACATAAAGAATGTTTGGATGCTGCCCATTTTAAAAAAGTAGAGCTAATACTTCTCAGCAGTAGTTTGGAAGTGTTATTCAGTCTTAGTTTTGCCTCTGAATTTGAGTGTGAGCCTCAATTCATTTTATGCATTGGATACCTGTATCAAGGTATTTTGAGCTGTTTAAAATTCTCATCAGCATCACATTTCATACCCTGCAAGGAGCAGTCAGTCAAACACATTACTGAAGGACTCCATCCTGCAGCAACTTCCCTGCTATAAAAGAATTTCCCTGTTACCTCTTCCTCTCTTAAAAAATTATTCTTTAGGAAGTCCTGTGAAAGTAAATCAAAGTAAGTGGATTAGCCTGAAAAATTCCTTCATGCTTTGGAATAGGGATCTAGAAACAGCTGAAGCATGGGAATTACAACATTATTTGTCTATGGACTCTGAAGTTTTGAAAGCTGGAAGTGCTTAAATAAAGACATTCCTACCTCATAAAGTGAGAACTTTGAGCAGTTGCCTTCAGACTGAGCCTGTCTGTAACACATCTGCAGAGAGAGAATCTGGTGCTAGTTTTGGGTGCCCTGAACCAGAACCTTGCAGCCTCCAAGCTCAGGGGAGAACTTTTCTGTCCCTCTGAAAGCTTTAGCAGCCTGTTTATAATGACACAAAGTGAAACCTGTGTCTCCAACCTCAAGCACTGGGGCAGTGTTTCGTGTGGGAGGCTGAGCGCTCCCCGTGCCTGGAGTGTTTCTGTTCTTAGCAATGAATTTGTGGCTAGACAGTGGAAGTGTAATTCCCAGAAATTCTGGGAATGACTGGTTTGTGCTTCAGGAGATTCCCTGACAGGAATATTCCATCAGGAGCTGTCTCTTTTCTCCTGGCAGGTCTTTGGGGGGTGGAAAGGACCTTGTAACCCTCAGAGCCCATCTTCACTGCTTTTTCTCCCCACACAGACTCTGCTGTGACAGTGGCAGGTGATGATGGGATCAAGACCCAGCTGTACAAGCTCACCACCAGCGTCAGCTTCTCCTATATCGACCCTGCCTGGAAAATTTTTCTGCGCAAAGAGGTTCAGTTCCTCAGCTGAGGATTGGCTGGGGGGGGAGCTCGTCCCATCTCTGGTTAAAATGGGTTTATTTGGTCACAGGCACTCAGTGTAAGATCAGAGCACAAAGATAATTCTGGGATCACAGACCCAGGAGTTGGAGGCAGGGGATCATGTCATGGGGAATCTGGTCCTGCTCTGCCTTGCTGACACTTGTGTTTCAGTTTCTCTACCTGTCCTTTCCTCCCTCTATAGAGCACTGAGATATCTAAAACTGAGTTTGTTGTTGCCTGGTGCTTTCCTGTTAAAACAGTACAAATGTGATGAAAATCAAGTATTGGAGAGTGTGCTAAACTCACCAGGGTTCATCCCTTGGTCTGAGCACTCAGGTTTTGGTTCTTTATTACAGTGACTTGAGGAGGCCACTGGGTGAGAGAAGGACGAGAATCTTGTTTCTTGATCAGAAGGCTTGATTTATTGATATATAATATATAATACATTATAACTATACTAAAAAGAATAAAGAGAGAGCTTGCAGAGAGCTGCTAAGCTAAGAATAGAATAGAAGGAATGAATAACAAAGTTCTGTGTTCAAGGAATCTCCCCTGAGCTGCTCCTGTGATTGGCCCTTAGCTAGAAACATGCAAGATGAGCTAATCACAGGATCACTTGCCACATTTCACAACAGCCGATAACAATTTGTTTACATTCTTTTTCTGGAGCTCTGCTTCCCAGAAAATAGACAAATCTCAAAGAAAAGATTTCTATGAAGAAATGTCTGCGACAGTTCTTCACTCCTGGTCCTTCTGTTTACATTCTCAGTGTCTCCTCCCTGCCTGTGCCTGGAGATGAACTCACTCCTCCTGGCAGCAAGGCATATGAATTGCAAAACACCCCCAGGAGCTACCTCTGCAATATCTGTAACACCACTATTGCCCTCCTCTTGCAGGTGTTTTACCCCAAAGAAAATTTCAGCCACCCTTACTGTCTGAACTTGCTGTGTGAACAGGTAAGCACCGGAGTGTGGCTCAAAGCCAGCTGTCTCTCTGGGGACAAAGCACTCCATAATTACATTGCATGAGTTGCCTGCACGTCTCCATCCCCAGCAGTGCAAATCTCTTCCCCAGATCCATCCAATCCCTGTTCACTCCTCTCTGAGACTCAGTTTAGCAGCCTCAGATGCTCCAGCTATCTATACAACAATAAAAGAACTTTTATTCTTGCTTGATACAGCTTAATGATGAACATTACCTGTTTACCACCAGGGTACTTTTGGCAGCAGGTTTTATGTTTAGTCATAAGATTAATGAAAAACACATATATAATATCAGTGCTTCAGTAAATTGACTATTCCATCACTTTTCAAAATTACCTACTACATTTTTACGGAAGACTTCCTTGCTCATGCAACTTTTCATTACTTTTTCCCTTGTGTTTATTTAAAGACTGGGATTCAGTAAACAAATAACTAATCTAGGACTTTGAGGAAGTAGTCTAGGGCTATTCCAAAAGTAATATATACCACTGTTTTGGATAATGGTTATTGTAACACCTTTATTTACTTTTCCTGCAAGTTCTCCTTTTCCCTTATTATTCTAACTGCTACCTAGAGTGAGACAGGTTAAAACACCTCAGGAGAAATCAATCAGCATTGTGACATCATTACAACACTGCCAGGTGTGGCCTTTGCAATGGCAGCCTCTCTGTTCCCTTGCTCTGCAGATCATCCGTGACACCTTCTCCGAGTCCAGCTTCCGGATCTCCAGGGAGGAGAAGCGCAAGATGAAGGATCTGCTGAGTAATTACCAGCCCCATCACCCCTTCCCCTCTGTGCCCATCCCAGCTTCTGCTCTGGAGTGCAAAACTGGCCTCCAAGCCTTTCAGTCAGTGCTAAGGGCAGGGGAGAATTGTTTGTCACTGCAGCAGGAAGGCGCATTTGTAGAGTGCAGTGTAGGAATGTTTGTTTATTCCCTGAAATTTCAGTGAGCCAGAAAAATGTAGTTCTGAAATGTTTTTTTGTGGGGAGGGGAAACTGAAGCCCAAGAATAGGATTTTGATTTGTTTCAAATTCCAACTGTCATCTCTGACATGATCTTTGTGGAGAAAGGGATAGAAACCAATAGTAGATTGGTATGTGCAAGTGTCCTTTCCCCTCTACATGTGGTTTGCTGTGGGGGTACCAGTCGTTGGATTTTCTGGGTCTGGNCCCAGCACATCTTGCAACCTAAGACAAGGAGTTAAATTCAACCCATCCAGGATGACCCAACAGCACAGGACACCATGTTTGGTTCTCTGTTTGGCTCAGCACATGGAGCTTTTTCCTTTTCCTGCAGATATAGCCAAGATCTGCCAGAGCAACCTGCGCAAAAACTTCCTGTATGGGGGCCGCCGGCACCTCCCCTTCCCTGTGGAGATGGAGGCACTTCTGGTATGGGGGCAGGGAGGTGGGGGACAGGGGGCAAGGGCGACAGGGAAGAGCCTTTGCAGGTGCCACATGCAGTGTGACAGGGGCAGTGGGTGTTTCAGGAGAGGAAATGGAGCGTGGGCATGGAAGGAGCTTGGGAGGTGCAGGCCATGGAGTGGGCAGGGAAAGGGAGGTGCTGTGGGCAAGCAGGGATGGGGAAGGAGGGACAGACATGTGGGGCTGACGGGACCCTGCATGTCTGGGACAAGCAGGGGCAGCAGGGATGGGGAAGGAGGGACAGACATGTGGGGCTGACGGGACCCTGCATGTCTGCCTGCCTGACATTGTCCTTGCAGAAGGGACACGGCGCCCGCCGGCTGGTGGTGCTGATGCCTGGAGGCCTGGAGTACCTCACCAGGATCAGGACATTCACTGTGAGTTTGAGCTGGGAGTTCCTTCAGGGGTCTGGACTCTGAGCCACACTGTGACCGTGTTCACAGGGGTCTGAGGATGAGGGAAGAGATGAGGATCTGACTCCATGTTTCAGAAGGCTTGATTTATTATTTTATGATATATATTATGTTAAAACTATACTAAAAGAATAGAAGAAAAGGTTTCATCAGAAGGCTAGCTAAGCTAAGAATAGAAAGGAATGTTAACAAAGGCAGCTGTCTCAGACTCTCTGTCCAAGCCAGCTGGGCTGTGATTGGCCATTAATTATAAACATCCAAGATGGCCAATCCCAGATGCACCTGTTGCGTTCCACAGCAGCAGATAATCATTGTTTACATTTTGTTGCTGAGGCCTCTCAGCTTCTCAGGAGGAAAAATCTCAAAGAAAAGGATTTTTCATAAAAAGATGTTTGCGATACTGCACCAGGGAAATCCCTTATCTGACAAGGAAGAATGTGTCTGCCTCCTCTTGGGCTTGCCTGGTCAGGGTATTCATTTCCTTCTCTCCTTGCTTCAGGTGGCCAAGGAGCTCTTACAGGAGATCTGTGAGCAGATGGGAATAGGTGAACAGCAAGAAACACAGGACTTTGTTCTCTTTGCTATCAGGAGTGAAGACAAAAATCTCGGCAAGTAGAGACCAGCATGGAGCTTCTCTCTTCCAGCAGCCTCTGCAAAAAGGAGCATCACAGCTCCTGCTTGGAATAGTTCCTCCACCCTTGCTGCCCCCTGGGAGGGTCCTCTTCAGCAGTTTCCCTCTGCATTAGGGTTAATGATTGATCCTTCTCAGGGGCTGTGTTGCTTGTTCCTGAAAGAGGTGTGGGGTTCTGTGTCCCTTTGGAATCGCTGATGGTTGGAACTGAGGTGGGCAGGGGGGAACTGAGGTGGGCAGGAAGGCTCCAGTCCCAGCCTCTCCCCCAAGAAGGATGGATGACTCTCTCTGTGTCATGCAGGTAAAATGGTGAGGCCAATAAAACTGGAGGAGTATCTCCATGATTACCTGCTGGAGGACATGCTGGTCACCGTGACCTTACGCAGGCTCATCTGGAGGACACCTCTGCACTTTGACAACCAAGTTTACACAGATGTCCATTATGGACAGGTAAGCAAGAGCAGGACCCTCCCTAGCAGGGACAGAGGTGGTGTCCCAGCCCGCAGGAGTGTCCCAAAGGGCTGGAAAAGCAGGAGGGCTTTGGCTGATAGGCTTTGTGTGCTGTTTCTGGGAGTGACTGAGCACTGAAGCTATGGATGCCAGGAAAGCTCTGTGCCTGTGGCCTTAGCCTGGAGCACTGCTGTTCCACACATTGTGCAGCTCCCCAGGCTCTTCCTGAGCTCAGAGAGCCTTTGTTTTGCATTATCAGCAAGGCAGGATGTGGCTCTGTGCAGCCTGGCATTGCCCAGACCTGCCTGTACCCTCTGGCAGCTTTAACAAAGGACTCTTTGCTGTGCTGTCCCTCAGGTGCTGTGGGATTACCTGAATGGGAGGATCCTGCTGAACCAGAATAAAGACATGGAGATGCAGGTGGCCCTTTTGGCAATGTTCCAGCACTGGGCCAAAGTGGAGCAGCAGAACTCTGCTCCCTCCAGGTATGTCTGTGGCAGAGGGGATCTCTGTGGTGGCCACAGGCACCACAGGGGTTAGGGACAGGTACCTGGAAGTCCTCTCTGGATAATTAAGAAATGTCCAGTTCTGGAAAACACAGAGGGTCATGGGGGTGCCGTGGTCATTTCATTTGATTGCCATGGATTTGTAACACTGAGAAGGAAGAGCAGGAGCTCAGGGTTTGGGTGAATCCTTCTGTGTTCTCTCTCACAAGTGTCAGAGGTTTCAACTCTGGACACCTGAAATCTGTGGTGAGATGTCCAAAGGGAACAAAATTGTCCCTGGATACTGGAAACCTTCAGTCCTGCAGTTCCAAGCTGTACTTCACTGTCACTCCTTCCTTTCCTTGTGCACTTTCACTTGGAGCTGAGGTAATGCCTCCATCAGATCCCCTTCAAGCACCAGCAGCAGG